GGGGGGGGTCAGATTAGCCAACTTTACCCAACAAAGAATCACATTATACCCAACATAAGAGAGTCCATTGTGTGGATTGGGATGAAAAATCCAGTCCAAGAGCAGGAGCAGGATAATTAGGGGAGGGGTGCAAGGACAGGACAGGCAGAGCAGAGATAAAATTGGAATACTTGTATCAAATAATATAAAATATGGCGTCTGTGCTGCTTTAGAGCAACTACACAGATATAGCTGCATGGAAGTGGGGAACTCCATCTTAATGCGCATGGTTTTGGAATAAATTGTAGCACAAAGCAACCAGTTAGATTTCTTACGGGCAGAAATCTCATTGGTTACTATAGGCCGCAGTTCTGTCTCTTTGCTGTACAAACATTCACAGCCCTGTTGTGTGGAAACTGATGGGGTAAGGTCTTCATATAGGTAATGGAAAAGACACCGTAAGACAAGATGAATGAGTGTAGAAAGAAGAAAAGGAAAAGGAAGGGAAGAAGAAAGGAGACAAACTGGCACCTTCTACAGGAAGTGGTGATAAAGAAACAGAACTTTGATAAGCAATAAAACCACAAAATATTCACCATATGGGGTCCAACTTCACTGCATCATCGTAAGCTAATATGTAGAGACAAAAAGATCCAACAATAAATGCATGCACTGTGGAGACAAACCTGAAAAACAGAAGACATTACTGCAACAATATACACCAAGCTGGGCTACTATAATAAAAAGATACGGGGTTACTGTAATAAGAGGTTACAGGGGTAATAAGACACTCAGGAGCCGGGTTACTGTAATATGATGTTACAGGGGTAATAAGACACTCAGGAGCCGGGTTACTGTAATAAGATGTTACAGGGGTAATAAGACACTCAGGAGCCGGGTTACTGTAATAAGATGTTACAGGGGTAATAAGACACTCAGGAGCCGGGTTATTGGGGTAATGCAGGGGGCTCAATGACCAGTAGAGATGTGGCAGAACCTGAACGTCTGTCAGTGTATAGGACGGGTAACTCAGATAGCCATTAATAGATTCTTAAACACAAAAATTTAACAGAAAAATCAAGCTTTAGATTTGCCATCCCTGGCGAGTGTTCTAGCAGGAACCGAGCTCCTGTTCCATCCCTGGAATATATCTGATCTCCAACATCGACACATAGTAGACTAATGGAAGGCTAAAACCCTTGCTAGCTTCTTATTACTGTCTGTGTCTCTAGTGTAGATTTTCCCTCATTTCCAGTTTGGGGACACCATTGTCATTGTGACAGTAAGTGAAGGGAATTCTTCTTATTGGAACTCCTGATAGCAGTCCAATCCAGACAAGAGGTTCCATTCCATCCCCTTTAATACACGGAGGTCACATTAGATAGAATAGGAATTCCTTTGACATTTACCTGGAGTCCCATTCACACTGTTTTGCTGCGGTGAGCTGCTTGTAAGTGCTGCAACATCTGGAGGAGATGATGGGGCTTATGAAGGAAAACAGCAGCTGGAAAGCTATAAAGCTTTCAGCTACCACACAGTAACTGAGCAACACGCTGTCCATCATTTTTGTTACTTCGCTGGTCATAACCAACGCACACGACACAGTCTTCCTCTACACATGAGGAACGGTAGAAGCCTCTGAAGTCAGAGCTGGGGGAGGAGGTTCGCTCTGTAGACTCCACTCCTTACAACGAGAAGGCCAGTTCCTCTATAACCTTAGGAGGTGTCCAGCATGCAATCTTCCCTGCAGAGCAATGATCACCATCTACAAAGAAGAAAATACAATATTAAAAACACGGATGTTGGGTGCAAAACGAGATTATAAAATTGTAATAATGTACATTAACGAGTCACATGGTCGTTATTTCAATAAACAGCCAAAAGCAATTTTTTGGACACAATGAGATTTACTAAAGACAAACAAGCTGCTCACTTTGCAAGTGAATATTCACTTAACTTGGTAAATGTGGTCAAAATTCACTTTGCAAAGACTATGCAAACACATGCAGGGAAAATAAAACAGTATGTTTGCTCGCACCTGATTGGATGATGGAAGTCAGCAGAGCTTCTCCTTAATCACTAAGCGAAGGGAAAAATTCCCCTGCAAGTGAACAGCCTATTTCCCTTAGTAAGTCAACCCCAACATATCAGAAGGTATGATATGGCGTAGCCATCATCATTGGTTAGTGATAGTGTAAAGCAATTATTTGGTGTATATCAGTAACAACAGACTTAAAACAAACTGTCATTTGGCCATAGTCCCATTGCTCAAAACTCATTAGTTACTCCTCAGATTTATTATCCAGTTTTATTTTTAAATATTAAAAGGTGCCCCTGTTTTACTAAGTAGGTTCCTCTAGTACTAACCCCATATCTGGTTTCAAGATAGCATTCTAGGGCTCACGTTTGGGTGGGAGAATGCTTGAAGAGGTAGGTTCTGTTGGCTTCTCATCCAGGGTTGCCAAATCTCCTCAAATGTAGGCAAGATGTCCTACAGCACACTTGAGGATGCGCTCATTAACATATATGAAATATTGCCATGCTGATAGGTGAATCGGATTTTCTTCATTGCTTTGCAATGCTGTTTAGGCTGTCCAGAGCCTCAAATAGTGGGGAACAACAAGGTAATAAACTTTGGTCTCACAAAATTAGAGGAATTAAATGCATGTACACCAACGCTAGAAGTCTGGCAAATAAATCCTCCAGAAGGTGGGAAGGCTGTCCGGACCCTCGGACTGTCCTTCAGAAGGGGGAAGGCTACCTGCAATCCCACCATATACTGTATTTTTCGCTCCATAAGACGCACTTTTTCCCCCCCAAAAGGAGGGGGAAAAAGTGCCTGCGTCTTATGGAGCGAATCCCAACGCCCGAGACAATTGTCATGGGACACTTGATAGCTTTCCTTCCCATCAGAAAGTGAAAACATACCGGCAATTGCTCACTTCTTGATCCTGTCACTGCTCTCTGCCGTGATAAGGGAGTGACTGGATTCTCACCTCCCCTGTCCGTTCCTCCAGCGCTGACTGGCGGAACGGACAAGGGAGGGGGCGGGTACAGCTGGCTCTGCCTCTAGATAGGCAGAGCTAGCTGTCACTCACGCAGCTGGGCGGATCCAGACATAATTATCGGGATCCGTTTCAGCTCTGGCGTCTCAGTATACCACGAGCTGCAGCTCGCGGTATACTGAGCTTTGGGTAATGGGAGGACACTAGTTTGTGTCCTCCCGTTACCCTTAGGAGAACTATGGGGAAAAGCCCTAACCCCATAGTTCTCCTTTAAAAAAAAGGGAACTTTCCCCTTATCTTGAAATGACGACAAAGTCACCTTTAGACATGCTTAGTATTGACAATCTACAAAACACATACTTCTAGATCACTGCCTGCTTTTTATTCTTCGCATACCTTATTTTTCTTTTCCTCCACAGTCTTCTGACAGTGGCCATTTTTACTAAGGGCAGATTAATATATCTCCCTTTACTACCTGGAACTCTAGCCCATGTGACTAGGACATGTGACTATGCCCATCATCTCAGGGGAGGAATATGCCTTTGCCCGAGATCATGAGATGCCAGATGAGATTTCCCAGCAATGCTCTGCCGATGTAATCTTCCCAGGATGCAACGCGTGGGCACAATTACATCATTTATGCCAAAGTGGTCCAGGAAGTGGAAAAACAATAAAATCGGAAGTAAAATAAAAATATATGTTTGTTTAACGAATGATTGTAAGATCATTTCATTTTACCATGCAGAGGTGCACACGGATGTGATTTTTAGTAAAAGGGGGTAAAAAGGTCCACTTTAGGGCTCTTGGGTTGTTTTGCGTAAATGAGATCCAGGATTAGTAAGGAGAAAGAACTAGTCTATATCTAGCAAACCAATGTAGCAAGATAAAAATAAAAAACAAAGTACGCAGAAAATCACTCATCCAGAAGGGTGAAGGAAGTTTGGTTCATTTGAAAGCAGTGGTCATCTTAGGAAGACTTTACCCCTCTGGGTGTACTCAGGTTAGGCCTTGGAGACCAACTCTGCTGCAGAGGGTAACTCGAATGTGGAGGTCCAAATTCATCCAAAGCTCTTTGCCTTGCTGTATGGATGTAGCAGTGAGGTAAGACCCATTACGTGGGACTATAGACTTTAATGGAAATCCCCAGGTGGTATTGTAGGTTTGCTGTCACAAGGGCAGATGGAAGGTCTTTGAGCTGATCCCATCTCAATAACATTCCAGGGGCTATATCACTATAGAGTCAGATCCTATATAAGACCTACCCCGAAAATAAGACCTAGCTGTGACCTTTCCCAGGGCCAGTGGTGTCATAAGGGGAAACTTGAAGAGCCTCGGGAGAGAATCAGCGGTGCCAACAAAGCAGGCACTAGAGGAAGCGAGGCGGCAGAGGGAGCAGAGCCGCATAAGCTGATGCTTTCTCCTGTCACAGGCGGAGTGATACCAAACTCACTCCACCTGTGAGGAATACTAGTGAAAGCGCGATTGGTTATCAAATTGCTCTTGGAAAGGTACGGCATCCCTGATCACCCTATTCTTAACTTTGCCATTTTGGATTATTTAATTTGGATTTGCATTAACTTTGGATTGTTGTACATTAAAAAAAAAAAAATAAGACCTATCCCGAAAATAAGACCTAGTGTGTTTTTTTGAGCCAAAAAAAATATAAGACAGTGTCTTATTTTCGGGGAAACACGGTATCCCTTGGAGGGCCTCTAGCTGAAAGCTTGGAGCAAAGACCTCTGTATATTCCCCCTCCCCCATTCACATCTATCCTGAGCTGCATCAGGAAGCATATGACAGAAGAGGCCTGGGACATTGGCCTGGAGGTCCATTACCTCTTCTGATTGGATCAGTTGTTTAATCTTGTACAATTCTCCAGATCTTCCATTTGGAGGGTGAGGGATTCTTGCAGACTTGCTACCTCTTCATGAAGGTCATGGTCAGCCAGTTCATTATGCGGGAGTTTCTAACGTGTATATTCCCTCACCCACTTCCAACAGTCTGACTTTGTAAGAGGCTCCAGAATTGGGGATCATAGGGAATAGGTATTTTCAATGATCCTCAGCTCCATCTAGTGGCTATAATGCAGTTTTTTCCCCCGACTCATCCTATTCTTTTGAATAAATAACATTCATCCTGGAGATAAAAGAGCCTGATAACATTCGACTTTGCCCCATTCGCACTAAACAAATGTACTGTACATGCAGCTTTGCAGGACGAATGTCCCCGTGAATATTTGATAAATACACCCTTAGGCATTAAATATTGCTTGGGTTTTGTCCGACAGTCGATGTATCCTTCGTTTAACAATTGCATTTCCTGTTCTGTTTTGCTAAATTTAGCACTTACATTTACTATTGTTTATGTGGTTTTATCTCGATCTTTTTTTTTTTTTTTTTTAAAAGGCAGTTTAGATTTGTGATAGCGGTTTGTAACATTGAACCCGAGGGAGATCATTCTATGAATGAAGACACAAGAATGTGAAACAAAGAAAACATTCTTAGTGAGCCTTTATTCACTGACTATTCACCCTCTGGTGCAGCCTTACAATTTATTTACATTCCTGAGGGAACCTATTGCCAGTCAATTGAATACATTCCTGAGCCAACAGCCTTGTATTCTGGTCACATCACTTCGGCTTCAACAACCGCTAGAAGAACCATCTTTTCCTGACTGGCACGGCCTAGTTAGGACTTTGGGCAAGCGGCTCGGCCCTGGGCTACAATGGATTCTTATCTCCTGGCGGTGATCGGTGGTGTCAGAAGTTACACACGCGTTCTCACACACCGATACATTGGTTTAATATTTGGTCATATCAGGGCTGTAGCTATCATGGGGCGAGTGAGGCACCCGCCTCAGGCGCAGCTGAGAGGGGGCGCAGCCAGGGCCGGCCTGGCTTCTCCCCCTCGTCCCTGTTGCCATAGCAAGCACACGGCGCCATTGGCAACAGGCCTGGCCAACACAACCACGGTTCGGCAGGGAGAAGAGGAGCGGCATAAGCTCCAGCTTCTCCTCGGATACCCGTGGCTCTCCCCCACCTCTATGGGCAGAGGACTCTGTGTCCTCAATCTCTTTTTCCATTTCAAAAGGGAAATGTCAGGGGTCAGTTTAGACCCCCGATATTCCCCTTGAATTTCCCGGAAACTAAAAATGTTTTCATTAGTTTCGTCAAATGAAGTCACATACTGCACACGTCTTTTTGGGGGGGGCACAATTTTCTGTTCATGCCCCGGGCTAGCTATACCTCTGGGTCATATTACTGGTGAGCGCAGAACTCCCCTCATTGCTATTTTGTAGATTCCTACAATATCGAGCGTCTATACCAGGGATGTCCAAACTGTGGCCCTCCAGCTGTGGTGAAACTACAAATCCCATGAAGCATCTCTCTCCGGGAGTCATGTCTGTGAGAATCTTGCAAAGCCTCATGGGATTCGTAGCTCCACCACAGTTGGAGGGCCGCAGTTTGAACAGCCCTGGTCTATACCATGAGATAAATAACATTTTTTTTTCCTTCTACAGTGAATTTACTAAACTTTTTGTATTTAGCAAATGTTACTGATCTTAAAACGATGAGATTTAATGCAACTGTGATTTTTCTTAATTAAATGATAATATATTAATAATAAAGACCCCCAAACACACACAGAAAAAAAAAAAAAGACATAAAAAGGCCTCCCTCCTTTATATCAGAGACCTGCCTT